GAATGCTGCACCTTTCTACTCTGCATGCATAGAAGCACCAACCGGGTACAAATTTGGCTTGACAAAAAACAAACATCCACGCTAATCTTCTCTTGGGTACGTCTTAAAACCGGATGCTGCAATCTTATGCTACGCGGTGTCCGAAGGATTATCAAGGAAAAAAAAAAAATGTTTGGTCTCTCTGATGGACATCCTGAAGGACACCCCAGCTGCAGGGGACATCGTCTGCAGCCATCATGCTCTATTAGCGTCGACACGAGAAGGTATTTGTTGGCCAATTGGCGCTGCGAGAACACCCCCTTCCCCGTGACACCCATTCATCCTTCCTGATTGTCACCTCCAAGAGAGACGTTGGGTGTTCCCATTGCAGCCCATTAGCTAATTGCGCTACGCCGAATATGACGACACCGATCAATCAGGCAGCGCAGTCTCGGCCGCTCGGGAACTGAGCTAATGTGTTTGTTTTCAACACGAGCGTACCCTATCTAGATTTGCCGCTCCACAAGGACTTTAACGCGAGCTAACATGTTGAATAATTAAACGGGGTTCATTCCTTATTTATTTCAATTGATCAGTTGGAGTGAGCTAACCTGCTATTTGCACATTTAAATAATGGCCGCGGTCGCTTGGTAAAATAGACACGCTCGATTGCGCCACTACTTTGATGTTCCGACGCCGTTCTGGCATTAGCGACACGTTGGTGCCCCCAGGTAAGAGTAACAAGAGTGTCCTCCGGCACTTTCAAGAACCAAACGGCAGATTTCCGACAGGTTTCCCAAGAGTTGGGAGTGAAGCAGTGGGCGCTCGAAGCGCTTTTCCTCACCCTAAAATGAATGCTGCCAGGCTACCGAGATAGCAACCTGATAATTAAAAGCTGCGTCAGCTCGACAAATACACCGTGCGCTGTGCTCTATGGAATCTGATCGCATTTGAAAAGAGAAATGGCCCAACGCCAGTAGGCAAAAAAACGGCTATGCTTTCAGCTAGCAGGATAGCAACTTCAGTACAGCAAGTGTTGAGGCAGATTGTTCGGGATTATTTCTCTGTCGTCAAAGACTATTTGAAATGAGAATGGATGAAATGCTCTCGATAGAAAAATCGTGACAACTGGATAGCTAGCAAGGCAGACAGACAGATGGAGTGGGATGGAAAAGAGAAGAGGTGCCGAGGGAGAGGGCGAACGACAAAGAAAGATAAACTAGAGAGGAGAGGCTGGAAAATGGCTAATGAGCGTCTGAGCGAGTGAGAATTGGACCGGATGAAAAGCGGCTTCGCAGACGTTATGTCCATTCGGTGCTGCCAAGGCTAACTTCTTTTGATTTTGTTTTGCGTGCGCATGTGAGAGATAACAAAAAAAAAAAGGTTTCAAGATATGAAAGCCTTGAATTGAAGCCAGACAGAATACAATGAACAGATGACCAGCTCATTCAAGTTTGGCTTTCATTGTCTTCATTAGGGTCACTTTATTTTCGCGTTCCTTCATTTGATCACAGCTTTCAATCATGTGTGATGTCATGGAGAAATCTTTCATTCTAAGCCACGCATACAACGAAATTAGGAGCGCTAATCCTCTAGTGAAGACAATAATGTTCAAATAAAAAAGCAATCAACAAAAATAAAAGGACATTATCGAGAATATGTAAGGCCACCTTAGTGGGATGTAGTTCTCGTTTTTTTTTTTTCTTTCTCCATCTGTTGTATGCGCTATTGTCATACGTCTTTCACATTGTTACATGCCGTTTTTCCCTTATCTAGTATTACACTTAGTTGTTATGAGCATCAAAATCATGAACAATCAAATAATTCATGTTTTGTATTGGCATTAGTAATAACTTTCCCTCCATCCGTTATCTGATCTACTTCTACACTAGAATTAATTCATTATGTCATCAAATACGTGAAAAAGGGTTCATGATTTAATTACATGTTTGAGTTATTTGAAGAATAAAATTGGAAATTCATCCATCAGAGCACCTACCAAATGACCAATCGTTAAATATTACGGCACGTATTGATCCCGGAAGTACCTATAAAATGCCACTAGGTGACAGTAACACATGATAAATTTGAATCCATTGTGACTTTGAGCGTGTTTTAGTGAGTTGGCAGTTTTATCCGGCCGTGTAATCACATTATTTGCGTTTGTCGCATCTTGACCTCCACTCGCCGTGCACAACAAATTGATATTCATTACGTGGCTAACGCCGACTGCTCGCGTCCTCCCCATCTGATATGCAGTCACATCGTGGAAATAAAGTGCAGGTTGAGTCTGTTTGTCTGAATGCGCATCCAAAACACTTTTGCCATCATTTCACAATGGCGACAAAGCACATTTGCAGATTTCCGCCGCAGTTGGTAGAACGCTAACATGCCAACACTTGTCACACTAGATAGCGATACTTACAACTCCAAGGAAAGATGTTAATACGTTTACATCATGCCCAGGAGTCGGGTAATACGTGATGTGAGAACGGAAGCTAAAGCTAACATGTTAATAGCTGGCATGCTAACCTAATAGTGCAGCAAGAGAGTAACCTGACCATAAAATGTGAGGCGGATTTGACATTGTGCCGTGTGTAGTGTACCACATAAAATGAAAATTGAGTTCGAGAAACATTGCACATCACGACTTGCGGTCTGAAACTTTTCGAAATGAGAACTCATCAAAATGAAAACACGCTAACCGTTGGTCCAGACTTCAAATCATAATAATGAGAATAACAATGGCAAACACCTCAGTTTGGCGTGCTCTTTACTCTCCCGACCAATTGTTTATGTGCATACTGGCCACTGCCCAAATGACAGAAACGTCTGGTGCTCCAGTCGCTATGGTGCTATGTGTTAGCATACCGACTGGTGTTAGCATTTGATCACCTCTCATTTCAAATTAAGGGCACGGCGGAATATCAAAATGTGAAAACATGTTTGCCAGGGTTTAATATAGGCTGACATTGCCAGACTGGGGGAACATCACTCCATTCACTTCCCCCCGGCTAGTGCTTAGAAAATCTTCAAATTGGAGAGCAGCGCCCACAATATGGAAGGTGCGAACTTCACAATGGCCTTCCTAGCTAACACTCGCGGCTGCAAAATTCACCGATTCGTGTTCAACAAAATGCAAACGTTGAGATTTTCTGTGATTTTTTTTTTTTGGGGGGGGGTGGGGTGTTGTATTACACTTTGTACAATAAACACCATTTAGTTCATGTCAACATGTCATGCTAACTTTGTTCATGTGGGGAACCTCATTCCTGTCCTTTGCCTAAATGTCAATGTTTGTTATTTCAGTTTAGTACTGGTCCCAATCCAAGACGTTCATTGGTCAGCATCACTCCTTCATGTACGTCCGTGCGTTGGCACTCTGAAGAGCATTAAGAGGAAAAGAGGCTACATCCACTGGATTCCGCTATATCGCGTACGGGTCCACATTTCCAATCCATTTCCATGAAAGGCGGCGGAGACTTTCCGTGGGCGCTTTCCCCATGAGCTCGTACGCAGCCGGAGCATGTGGTCGCTGTTAAAAATAGTCGACCCCTGGTGTGGGGGTGGGAGCAGCGAGAGTGGAGGGCTTGGGGGTGGGGGGTCTTTGCTGCAGGGAGATGCTCATTACGGTGCCTCGCTCACCTTCCGCCAGTCTTCAGGGATAATGAAGGCTTTTCTCGGTAACCTCACTCCATTCTTGCCCAACGTGTCCGTGTTGCAATGCAACAAACGGTATTTCAGTGTTTTTAATTGCTATATCGTTTATATCAACAAGAATCGAGACGCTATTTTGCTCAACCTGCCACCCTGAGGAACCTCACGCAATTTATTGAGCATGCTTCGGCATGTTGTAAATCTTTTATCTGAATTTCCAGCAATTTGTCTTTGTTCTGTCATTGTCAGTGCAATGTTGATGCATCGAGGCAAAATTTGGGGAACATCATCCAATTTCCATGAGTCCTTGTAGCTGTGTTTGCTATTTCATATTAGTGCAGTACCAGCCAAGTATTTTTTTCCATTTGTCTCTGGTGTCAGGTTATAAAGCAGGGCTGTCCAAACTTTTGGGTTTGAGGGCCGCATACAGAAAAATGGAAGGACGAAAGGGCCACTGTCAAATTTGTCAACACGCCAAAGTCGGTCAAGAAAGTATTTCGATATTCTTTGCATTGTCTCGTTCATTTCATCAGTTTTCTGTTCAAGGCGTCAAGGCAAATAGTTGGGGATATATTTTTTGGGAGGGTGGGGGGTGGCCAACAGCCCTCGATGTCACGGAATAGATCCAGCTCTGCACTTAACAGCAGCCGAATCTCCTGCATTGTAATTTGCATCCCAAATTGGAAGAAAATTATTTTTGCCTCTCAAATTGAATGATCTTGATTCACAGCAGTGTTTTGAAGATCAATTATGTGATTCTTTGAATCATAAATGGTTCATTTGTGTCTTGGAATACAGTATAGCGAAAAGTTCCACAGTCCACCTTTGGACACCCCTGCTATAAAGTACGTATATGGTATTTTGTACTTTTATTGTCAACATAATTTGGACCCTAGCGCTAACTTTGTCAGAAAGGGGAACCTCACTTCCTCCATTCCATACGTTTTTTTGGCATGTTATAAATGTTGTACAAGTCGTATTCGGTCGACTATTCCCGAAGCAGACATGCAGTATTGATGCTAACTTTGCCAGCCTGGGGAACCTCAATCCATTTTTTCACTTCCATCTCAAGTGTGATGCAACACAAGACAGACGTCAGTAAATCCAATTCACCTGACATATGCGGGTGAAAAAAAAAAAATTCATTTTCGGCAATCACACACACACACACACACACACACACACACACACACACACACACACACACACACACAAAAACTCATACTATACTGTCACACACTTCCCAGGAAGTCTTTTCATCTGTCAAACTTTGGACTGGAGGCGGGGGGAAAGGGGAAGCGGGAGTGGGTCTCGGCGGGATGGAGTGCAGCGGGATAACACCACCAGACATTTCTTCATCTTACCTCCTCTCCCGTCAGATAGTACGCCGACAGCAGCCCGCCGACGTAACGGATGTTCACCTCAAAGAGCGACGCTTCGCCGTTCTGTGGCAAGAGAGAGAGAGAGAAGGAGAGCGAGACAGCGTCACTTTCTCAGGCTTGTCAGCGTCGAGATGACAGCAAAGCATTAACATCGATGATCATTCATAATGTCATCAATCAAACCAACTTGTAGGCTTCCTTTGGTCGAAATGTGTATATTTAGAAAGCGATAGTCTGAGATTTGCCTTGCCGTGAAGTCAGCGAAGAAATGACAACAATGGAACCCCGGCAGCTCGCTCGAGACGCAAACTGACTGACATCAATCAACGCGGTGAGGGCATCAAGAGTAAAATATGAGCAAAATCTGGTCCGCGCGCACACATACACGCACACACGCAGACACGCACACAGACACACCCAAACACACACACCAACGTTATGTTTTGTTTTTTCTTCTAGATCTCATTTCCACAGAAAAGAAATTTGAATGGTCTTATGCTTTGTCATTTCTTGACATGACAAGTGGGCTACTAATTCAAATAAAGTCATCTCAATAATATTAATTCATGTCAACATTTTCTTTAAAAAAAAGTCAATAAAAACAAATTTCAGTCCGTAATGCTTTTAACTTTTTGATTTATCAACAATCTTTTTAAAAAAATAAATAACTAAAAAATTGTCTCCAGCTGTTATTACATTTATTTTGATTATGTATGTGCTGAATATAAAAAAAAAGGCCAAAATAGTTTTCTTATGTTTCAGTTATTCATACATTTATCTCGCATTTAATAGTTAAGGACCAAAATTAAAACAAAAACAGAGACATTTTCAAAAGCAATACAATTATCTACAATTATACAAATCTCAACTAAAGTATGAATGTTTTTTTTGTTGTTTTTGAAATGTACTTTATTCATGACGGCGGTCGATTGGTTAGCACGTCGGCCTCGTGGCTCCGGCCTTCCTGTGTGGGTTTGCATGTTCTCCCCGTGCCTGCGCGGGTTTTCTCCGGGTACTCCGCTTTTCTCCCACATTCCAAAAGACATGCACGGCACTTTGATTGGACGCAACGATGACAAAATGCTCGGAAAGCAGCAAATGATGTTGCGTGAGTGGCCACAAACACGGACGGGCTGGGGGGAAAAAAAACGGTCATGGTCTCACCGAGGTCAGGTCCAGGTCACTCCTGACCCACTCCTTGGCGTCCTCGTACTCGTCCAACAGTCCCATAATATAGAGCGTGTCCAGCGAGTCGATGATGGACGCTCCTCTCAGGCCACCTGGAAGCACAGCGGACAAATTGACAAAGTGTCGCCAAGCCGTGATTTAGAGCAGGCGGCTTCTCATTTCTTCATCGCGTGTCAGTACAGCATAAACTCGTATTTTATTCGATGTACACAACACGGACAGGTTGGAAAGTTTGGTCCGGAATGTGAGAAATTTGGCAAACATTGTAAAAACTGAATCTTGCAAATGTTTTATTTTTAAGAAACACCAAAGGGACGACAGGAATCGATGACTTGTTGTCGATGAACGGATCCGCCGTTGCAGCACGACAATACGAGCAACGCAATCACGGAAATGGTCATTTGACCTGATTTTGGAGCGGCTCCGGTTCACGCCACTTCTTTTTTCCACGTCCGGGTGATCGTTTGCTTATGAAGCACTTTGAGCCCCCCATGCGGCCAGAACAGACGACGTGTGGAAAATTCCAGATGAGGAGGAAACAAAAAAAAAAAAAAAAAAGCACAACCGTAAAGTGAAGAAGATTGATTGCGCGCCAGGACAGACGGAGCCGATCAATCCTTCAATGTTTGTTCTCGGGGCGCCCATGTGAGCCAAGAGCATGTTTCTTTTTCTTTTCCTTTCTTTCTGCGGCCTTCTGAGACAGACCTCGTCGTTGGGAAGACAGACTATCATTCGTTTCATGCACAACACCTCGAATGACCACCTGCTCGACGGCTGAGCGTAAAAATGCCGAAAAGCCGCGTCGGAGGTTGTCACCAGCGCGTACCTTAACACACACCCGCTGGACAAGGAGCCCCGAGGACTGACCCAGGCTCAGGAATGTCGCCTCTGCTTCGTTTACAAGCGCTGCACCAAACTGCACTCTGGTCACTTCCTTAAAAATGCGCCGCGCTGCACTGACGACCGCTGTGCTGTTTTAGATTCCGAAATGTCCACAACAATGAGTTTGCCGTTGCGGTTGGTCATCTTGGTGCGGATCCGACACGCACGTTAGCCGAGTCACGTGACGAAAGTCAGAAATCAGGTGAACTGTGATTGATTGTGCCCCGAGCACATGTGATGTCATTTTCAGTGGACAGCAAGTGGCAGTCCAAGGCAAAATGGCCGCCCCCGGAGAGGGCAGCTCAACTCGCATTTCCATGAAGCCAAGATGAATCAAAATGCCGCGTTTAGACTCGTGAAGGCGCAAGGAAGAAACTCAATCAATCAATCCAAAGGAATTCGTTCCAAATCATGTTCGAGAATTGTAGAAATGAAAAGATTGGGAAGAGCGCCCTTTCACCTTGGCGGAGGTTCCGAAAAGAGCCAGTCAAAATGTTGGTTGCAGTCTTCGACACACACGTCTTGTGTCCTGACTGCGCACGGGGAAGCGAATGAAGTGGCTGGGAATGTTCAAACGAAATCCGTCCTTTTGACGAGCTGCTGCAGCATCATCCAACGGATGCCTCGGCGAGCTAACTTGAGCGTTTCGGTGTTGCGGTGGATGCTAATTGCTGCGGATGCCCGGATTCACGGTCATCACGCCACCCCGTTGCCAGCGGTTACCGCCATCCAATTATCAATGGTGGGGGGGGCAACGGGCGTCTTGTTAGCGCTAATGCCGTCTGGCACCACGGGAGCGGGGTTAGCGCGTGGATGAGTCAGCGCGGCGGGGGCGGCGGCGACGACGAGCTGCTTGCTATTCAGGACACATCGGCGGCGCATTCGGCGGGCGGGTCATAATAATCAATCATATCAATCATTTTTAACAATTGTGAATATCGACTGGGAAAACTGAGTGAGAAGGAGAAATGTCAGGATCACCCCGCCCCCGGAAGGTGATCAATTGTTGTAAAGTGTCACTTCGCACCATCCCAAGAAGAAGGCGTTCCACACCGCTCGGTGCTCGGCTCAAACCGATGCCCCTTTCCACCCCCCCCAAAAAAAAAACACCTTGGAGTCGAGCCTTTTACATTGCATCATCCTTTGGCTTGATCTCCACTGGCACTTTTGACCGCAGCCACACAAGCAGTCGTTGAAAACAGTAGCGATCAAAACGTCTTGCGCACATGAACTAAATCAAAGGCTAATCCCGCATGCGAAACAGCCCAGACTTGATTGGAGCTGGCGTTCCAGACTCGGCGCACCTCAATCTAATCGGCTAATTTGGCGCCCGGGGAAAAAGTGTGTGTCAGGCGAGTGTGTCAGGACGGCTGATATGACAGCCTCTCAGATGAGATTACACCGTGTTATCGAGCGCTCGCATCCTGCCCGCCATCCGTAAGCCTCCCGCGCATCGATCAAACACGCTCTCCGGCGGCGATGGTCAGCGTGCTTCTGATACTTTGTCGAGCCGCAAACTCTGACAGGAGGTAAAAGCCGGAAGATCTGATTAGGCTGAAAAGACAAACAAAAGACAGCAGCGAGCCTTCAGAGGAGCCGAGACGGGAGCTTGACCTTCACTTGACTCACAACGCAGAAAGTGACACCTTGGACGCCGCCTTTGTTTTCATTTTCACACCCAGCTCACGCTAAAAGTGCCAAATATTTGTCATCGTAGCCTCGAGGAAAGAAGAAAACTTGCCCGCCGCGCCGCTCGGCGTCACACGAAGCCAATGGCAGCGGGGCAAGCGCTTTGTTTGATTGCGGCGTCGCCCTCCTTCCTTCCCAGAGCGCTTGGGGGCAGTTGGGATCACTCACGACCCGCCTACAATCAGCAAACTTCGCAAGCGTGGCCCGGACCGCCGAGCGAGGTGCCAAAGTTGCCCCGAGCCTCGCGAATCCATTTCACGCATCTTTGCCCTGTATTTCTGCCACCCCACCCCCTTCGTTTTCCCCCGCGGGGGGCGCCCGGGTGGGAACAGCGATGCCGGCAAAACATGACGCAGGGCATTAAAGGGAAGGCGCTTGACAAACGACGGGACGGCCGAGGTCTTTACTTCGGGAATCCGACACCTTAGCGCGCGGCGGGTGCGCAGCGAGCGGCTCGACGAAGGCGATTCTCAGAGAAACACGTCGGCTTTTATGGAGATGAGCGGATATTTGCCTGTGAAGGCACAGCTCAATGTGACTAAGCGTCAAGGCCGCGGCGCACTGACGCAACTCGAAATCAAGCTGAGTTTATTAATAGTCGTCCCAAAGCGCCGGCGTCTTAAGCGCTTGGCGGGATACGTTGGCGACGAAAGCTGCCAAACGGCGATGACGCCGGCACGTCTCAGGTCGTCGTGACGTCAGCGCCGAGAGCCCCCCGTGATCAGATGACGCCAACGCGGGATGCGAGGCCATCGGGGGGGGACAACATCAAGCGCTTTGCGTCCATCTGACCCTCCGCCTCGTCGACATGCGCCTGTCGCAGAAGCCTGACTTTAAAATGGAGCCCAATCCGCGGGTAATCCGGCAGCTCGGTCATACATGGAGCGACGCGATTTTCATCATCTTGGCGATAATCCCTTGGCAGAGGCTTGACGACGGGCCTGCGTTCCCCCCGAGGGGGGCTCGCTGTAATCCCCGTAAGAAAGAGGACACGTTTGGTGGCGGTGATAACGACAGGCGGCGCCACACTTGTGCGCTTTTAGCTTGATACCTTGTTGCCAATTTTTCCTATGAAAGGAGCAAAGCACAATTGAAGACGTTTGACAGGGACGGCCGCTGACAGAGCAAAGTCCTCTTTTATGAAACCGATCCAGCCGCGTCGTCTCCTTTCCTGTCACCTAATGTCCTCTTCCCTTATACTCTGTCATATCCGAATCGAACCGTACTGCGTTGGACGCTGCCGCCTACCATCGTGTCCGATCCGATTCCGTCCCATTGTACCCTCTCAACTAGTCTTGTCTCGGGGCCTACTTGGCTCTGTCCTACCGAGTTGGCATCTATTGTGTCCTGTTGGTGTCTTGTCTATTCTATCATGTGCTATCGTATACCCGGCTCCCGGTCGATTGCGATCGACGTATTGGGCACCCCTGCCTTAAAAACGGAGGTGATTCGCTGACTATCTTAGCGCTCAGCGCCGTTGTTTGCGCGTGAGCGGTAAATTCAGTCATCTGATTGGATTCTGAGGCAAGCTGCGAAGCGTTTTTGAGCTTTTTGAGCTTACGGCGCAGACGGACGCCAGCGCGAGCCGACCGGACACGCTCCGGTATAAATCATTGCTCGCTATGTGTGAATCATTATTCCAATCATCATCCAGATTTTCACATCCGTCCCATAAAAAAATGCCAAGCCAGCACTTCCCACTTGACGACTTGAAGAAGAGGCGATGTGGCTGAACTCCCTGTGGGGCGCGCGTGCACACCAGAGCTATTTGTCAGCTAAATGCTGCTTGCTGCGGAGACAGATGATCTCTGGCGCGTCATGACGGGGAGCCCGCGGGATGTAAAAACGGATGGCCCGGAGATGAGGAGCGGGCATACGGTAACGAGCCTCTCGCTCCGCCAGCGCACTGTCATGCGACAGGCTGCCGCGATGGGCACCATTTGGGAGGCCCTCCCCTTCAAGCTGCTGGCGAGAGACGCTCGCCGCTCCCTTGCCGTCCTCGCCCTTGTGAAACTTTCGGTTCTCCGTTGAATCTCGCACATCTTTTTAACTCATTCAGTACCCTAAACAAACCCCCCAAAAAAGTGTTTTTACACGGTTAAGGCATTTGTGATCAGTGCCAATTTTCAAGCAGATTTTCCAAATGGGTGCCTCTGAGGGTTTCAAGTCATTTCTTTTCTGTGGCTCTGATCAACTCAGCAAAAAAAAAACAAAAAAAACCCAGAAGACATGCTTTTCAGTGCTGTCAATTCTGTTCATTTCCACTTTTACAACCATTTTCAAAAATGATGTGTTGCTCTTTGCTTCGTGCGATAAACACCACTTTGAGACTCTTGTGGGAATAAAAAAAAAAAGGTCTTTTTCTCAGTCTTTTGCCCCCCCCCCCCCCTCCAAAGATGTGTTCTCAGTGTTCGAATGGAAACGATCTTGGCTTTCAGATGCATTTTCAGTTTACGATAGATGAGGTGTAATGAGCTCGGCTATAAAAGGCGGCGGGGAAAAAAAAAAAGAAGCCGGCAATCAGAGTCAGCTCATGCTGCGCGCCGCCAGAACGACGCTCCCGTCCGTGGCAGAGCGCCGACGGTATCGCTGTCCAAACTACCGCCCGGCATCCATTTTTTTCAGCCGCCCGCTCGCGACGTGACAAAATCAAATAAAATTGAAAAGATAGTCTAAAATGACATTTGACATGGGCCCGCACGGTGAGTTCAAAAAGGAGAAGTTGGGCAGAGCGGGGGTGGGGTGGGGCATGACAGTCCAACCTCATTTCAACGTATCCCTTTAAGTCCCGATTTCACGTCCTTCATTTTCCATTTGCCGATTTGGCTTCCAACAAACACCCTTAGAACGCGCCGGCTGTATTTCGGACGATGAGATGGTGATGATGATGATGATCAATGGAAAGACACTCCAAATACAAGCCAACAGTTCAAAATAGGACAGCTTGAAAAATGACAAAATGCTCATCTCAAGACCGCCGTGGTGGAGATGAGCCTCGTATTATTTTCTCGTTTCCCAAAATCTTGTCGAGGAAAATTTCCTTGTTCTGTTGGCAGATCATTTGTGCCATTTGAAGTATTATTTTGCTGATTCCAACGTATTTTTTTTCCCTTCAAATTTACACTGGACACTTTGCGGTGTTAATTAAACGGAGGTGGTGGCCAAGACGCGGCTGATTCAAATTCAACGGCACTAATAAACTAACCACCAGGGGGTGCTGGAACCGCACAGAAGGCAAATAAGATCTGAACGTGGCTTTGAAACATCGACCGCGATATCGTGGCAATTTGAAGATGGCCATCTTGCCGCTCTGGTTCCATCCATGAAATATTGCCATCCTGCAAATTTCGCACCTGTGGCAACCGAGGCTCCACCCAACGCTCCGCTGCCAACCGTCCTCCTCCCCCGAGCGCAAATCAACATTTAATACGCTACAACGAGAAAGCAGATTCCCATTTGTCTGCGTCTTCCGACTTTGCTCCGAGGGAAGATAATCGGGTTGAGCCCAGAGCGCTACAACATAAAGCGACGCCAAGATGAAGTCGTGCGAGACGACGACAAGGGTTGAGGCCCGGCTGGCTGCGGCGAACATGTCGTCTTTTGCTCTTTTGTGGCACCAATGTTGGTGCCGTCTTTTTATCGGCGTCATCGACAACCTACCGACGCTCCGCGTGGGATCCGGTCACGCCTCGTGCGGCTTTACTCTTGAGGATGACGTGACAGCAGCCAATTTCATACCTGGCTCGGCGCAAGGGCCAACCCCCCCCTCCACGCCAACCCGTGAACTCCTGCCGTTTTTTGGGATGTTGCATTGACGCCCTTTTGCGGGATCTGTCGCTGGCTTTTAGGGGACTCGACAAGAAGCGGGAAAGTATCCAAACGTTTTGATGGTGGGCGGATGCACTTGCAGTGCCGGTCGACGAAGGCGGCTAGGAATCAGAAGCGGAACCTGTGGCTGAGATCTTCATGACTAGAACGACCTTCTTGGTGCTTCAGACTTTTTTGTTTGGAGGTGTTTACCAAAATGATATTTTTCAGTGTTTCGACAACTCTGGTCACCACGGGTTTTCCAGCCGCTCCGTGAAGACGTGTTTTTCCATTTTTCGATCCCAATTTGAAATGAGGGCATTTAAAAACAATACTTTTTCCTCTTTTTTTTGGGGGGGGGTATTATTTTCAGTTTTAATTCAAAGGCTAGCATCTATCAGTTTTGATTGTACAGTATTTTCTTTCTTGGAATTGCTGTTACGTGGTTTCTTTGGGGAATCAGGGCCAATCTTTGTGATTGAAAACATTGAGAGAAAAACATTCTACCTTGAGAAGAAAATCATTTCAAAAAAGCTGAAAAAACAAAGACTTACCAAACATGTTGCCAATATGCCCGTTCTTCGTTAAAGGCCGAAGCTCATTCTTGCCCCAGGCATACTGCTTGTAGTTGTCCCAGGCAAACTTCATCATCTGCAAAACAAAGCCACACACACACACACACACACACACACACACACACACACACACACACACACACACAGGACAAGCGCAGCAGTCAGTGGCTTGATGGAGCGCACATGTAATTAAATTTGTCGAGCTCCAGGCGACTGGAATGATAGTTTATTGATCGGCGCGGCAGAGGACAAGCGCGCAATTATGCCGCCTTCCGAAATAAAGCGGGGCCGACCTTCACCCGCCAGCCGTGACAAACGTCACCGGAAATCACGAGGTGAAAGGCGACATTCGCGCAAAGATGGGCCGAGACTTTTTGCGACATCTTCAAAACCGATGACGCCAACCCTCTAAACAGCCCGATAGCAACGAGACCCTGGAGTGGATTAACCGCCATCGGGTCTGGCAAAAATACCGCCATCTTGGTGCCCATCAGACTGGACCGGAGCCCGGACCATCCGAGTTGCTTAGCAGAGAGTCACGCGTCAAACACGGCACGGTGAGACTTCAAACTGGATTTGAAACCATTTGCCCATGATCTGAAGGAAACTTGTAACAACAAATAATCAGCGCAATGCTTGCTCTCCTTTCTTTTTCCTCATCACACAAACTGACAAAGCCGCTGCGATGAAAGCGCCGCCTCCTCACCTCATCCGCGGGAGATGCCGGATGGGGACCAAAGAACTTAAGTGCGCGTGACGGCGTGCCGAGACCAAATCGCGCCTCACCCGATCAAAGAACGTCACGTCATTGCGCTCTTCTTATTGCCCGGCCTGTCTTCGAGCCTTCCGTCGGCTCCGCCAACACAAAGCGGCAAAAAAAGGGACTGCAAACAAAGCTCCTCCTTTCTTTCAAGGTCACCAGCGACAGCGCATCTGAAGACTGACGCGGCAGTTTCAAACCATACGAGGCATAATACCAACGCTGATTGTTTTGTGACGGTTGACGTTCGCAGCGGAGGTGGCGAACGTCAAATGGTGGAGTCCATTCGCACTGGACTGAAGTCATACTGACACTTGTGGAGAAAAATAAAAGTCATGGATTCATCCGTCCATTTTCCGATCCGCTTTGTCCTCCGGAGGGTCGCGGGCATGCCGAAGCCTGTCCCAGCCGTCTTCGGGCAGTTGGCGGGGGACACGCTGAACCGGTCGCCAGCCAATCGCAGGGCGCACAGAGACGAACAATCATCCGCGCTCACACTCACACCGCGGGACAATTTAGAGGGTTGCAATTCCCCTCCACCTCTGCACTGTGAGGCCGACGTGCGAAACCGGTCGACTGCTGTGCCGCCATAATGGATTTTTTTTGTTTTGTTTTCCAGGTTTGAGATTTTTGGAGGGCCAGCAGCTTCCGCATCGGCCATTTATCATTTTTGGAGCCGACAACGTCAAACAGTTGTGGTAAACGACGCCGAGGATGGTGAACGTCCGTCCCGCTTCTCCGAATCTGGTGCATCGTCGTCGTAAATGCCGCCCGGTTCGCATTCTGCCTTGTAAACACGCAAGCTGTCAATCTATCCGAAGCCTTTCCCTCTTCTGAATTTCTGTGATGTTGTCAACTGGAAAAAAAAGTCCCGAGCCGATTTTGACAAGGTGCAGCCCGGTTTACTCAGCAGTCAATTTGGAATCGATCTTGACAGTTAAAGTCTGGGTCGGTCGAGAGCAGTCGCAAGGGACGCCAATCGCTTCGGATTGGTCGGAGCCGACAACGTCTTGATTTTTCTCCTAAATAAAGCCACGGATGGGGCCGGGAATATCTTTTCCCTCTCGCCACCGCAGCATAACCATTGACGGCGAGGGCGGGTCAGGATGGGCACGACCCACCCGGAGGCCAGCCGGCAGCGCTGCGTTCAAGCCTTCAATTCTGCTGCTGTAGATTGCAGATTTCCCCAGTGTGCGACAAATCAAGGTTTTCTTATCTTATCTTATCTTTTGCTCAGCGGGACATCGATCTAGCAGTCATCCGCCGAAGGGATTGGTTGCTCATTGATCCAGATGGCAGTCTGACTTGGACATTCCGAGTGGCAATCTATCCCAGAGCCGTGAGAAAAGATCAGACTTTTCCGTTTTGGTGACACCAAACGTCATTGACTATGAAAACACACGCCGAACGACTCCGATGAAATGCTGACCAATTCGCATGAAGTGTTCCATCTCGTACCTCTCCATTTCGATCCATCGTTGAATTCAAAACATGAGAAACAGCTCAGAGAGGAGAGCGGGGACAGTTTTGGTATTCCGCAGGCGTGGCTCGTCTCCGGTCAAGGTGAGCCGAGACGAGACGCGGCGGGCGGGCGGGCGCGTTGATCTCGGCCAAAGTCAGCGTGGATCCCGCGTTGCATTTTAAGAAACATCACAGCCACACTGGCGGAAAATTGTCATCTCCGACTGGCCAACTTGGCCAACGTTCATCCTGGCGCGCCTTCGCCTTTGACAAAGAATCCATGTTGCCTTTGTGCCGCAACCCAACAGTTCTTGCGATCCGACGGCAACACTCTCGATGGTGAAATATTCCCAAGAGGAAGCCCGTTCGCTTCGAATGTGGGAAATGCAACAAACAACAACAACAGGCCTTGATGCATTTCACGGCTTTTGCTGCTCTCCCGGCCTGGACGATTCACATTCTCTGCTCCTCACTAATAACCGAAGCAATCAGTGCGGGAATCGCTGCTGCTCGACAGGCCAAGTCGACGTGACGCTGACCGCTGAGCTCCAACACTCTCGCTCGCACACTCCCGGGAGAGCCACATGACTACACTCACTGGGCATTTTTCTCCACAACTAATTAACACGCCTCTCGGTTGGGTTGCTTACTGCCAAATGAAGGAGTTGATCAGCGTACATACATTATCTGCATACAACATACATACATACATTATATCGGTCTATCGCTCTAGATGGATCGATAGACAGAGAGACAGACTGATAGATAGATCTCCATACATAAATACAAATTAATTATTCAAAAATCATCAACTGTGATTTTCTGGATTTTTGTTTTATATTCTGTCCCTCATAGTCGAAGAGTACATTTTATAAAAAAAAGTTACATCTACCTGCTTTATAAGTGGGAAAACTTCAAAAATCGGCAGTGTATCAATTACTTGTTCTCTCCACTGTGTGTGTGTGTGTGTGTATTTTTTTCACCTCATTACCTCGCTCATTTGGCCTTTTTATATTTCAAGAAAAATAACAATACAAATGAGCGGGCACATAAATCAGCCAATCAGTTTGTAGGAGGTTCAAGGCATCGCTTTGCAAAAGGAACACGAGCGTTCCATCGAGGCGTTGACCGCCAGGGTCATCTTGTAGCACCGGAGCGAGGTGGGCCACATGAATATTTCGAACGCCCCTCATAACACTTCCTGACACATTCTATAACGCGCTTGTTATGCTTGCTTCGAGCCAGGCTGCCCCCCCCCCCTCTCTTTTATCCGAGGGCGGACGGCGAGCCCATAAATCACACGGCGGTCCCGTCAAAATCGCGCCGCTGGAAGGAAACAATCGGCTTGGTCCGACTCTTACGGCTGCCGGCGCAGCCGCCCCCGTTGCCTTTCCAGCCCCGGACCGAACGCGACTTGCTATTTCCTACCCGATCGAACCACAACAGCGTCCGTCGCGCGGGTCTCTGAAGGCAATTCTGACTCGGCACCACCCTGCAGTAAATTCGCCGGTCCAAATCTTATCGCACCTGCTGGCCCCTTTCAGTCTTTCAAAACCACTCAGCGGCGATGACGCGGCGTCCCGAAGCGATGCGCTCACTCTTTGCTGCCTTTGCTCAGATAGATGATATCCGCCCCCCCACCCCTCCCCCATCCCTTCATCTGTCTCGCTACATGACAGATAGTGATCGAGAGATGGAGAGAGATACAAATACAAAGAGCGAGAGAGAAAGGTAGAGAAAGATAGAGGGAGAGACAGAGAAAGAGAGGGAGAAAGATCAAGAGACAGACAAGAGATCGAGTGATCGACAGAGAGACAGAGTTTGAATTGATTGTCATCTTCCAGAAAATTCCTGAAAGTGGTCTCGTCACACTCCATTCTAACGAGTCCTGCTAGCAACGTAGCAGCAGTGGCTAACGGCGGCCAAGCCAGAGACGCAAGTGGGGCCATTCGGGATGTGGGGCCACATTGAAATCTGGCTTGCCCTGCCACTGGAAGGTCCCCCTTGAAATGCAAGCGAGGTCATGGACGACGAAGAGAGTGCTCCGACTGACTCTTTCGCATCGCTGTCGTGAGGGCCGTGCCCACGCGAAAGCTGCAATCACTAAATGGTGGCGCTTCACCACCTGCAAGGCCGCTGATCGGGGCTTATGCAGGTTTCGTACCAAGCCCGACGCTAGCATCGGGTGGAAACGTGGATCAGGTCGTCACAAGGAGTTGCTTTCTCAACAAAGCGTTCCGTCTTGTTCAAAAGGAAAAAAAAAAACAACAGCCAAAACTCAAAAGTCGAATTGAATAACGGAGTCAGCCGCATGCACAGGGAAGCAGAAATATCCTCTTGGAGGACACCTTCGTCTTCCATTTATTCTCACCTTCAGACAGCATGAATATAAAACGACGAGATTACGTTGCTTTTTATTTTGTTGTTGTTGTTGTTGTGAGCTGTGTGGACTCAGGTGGAAGAAACTTTCCTGAAATTTCCTTTTTCTCACAATGAGGTGGCAGAGGACATCAGTCATCCTGTCAGCGCTCTTTGACAGCACCGTTCCTTCACTTTAATGAAACTCGCGAGTCCAAAGTCGGGGAAAAGAGACCTTTTTTTTTTTTTTTTATGGACTCTCCTCCCTTGTTTGTCGACAAAGTTTGCACGGAGTGAAGCGGGCGTCAATCAAATTCCACAGCATCTTGATTCCGCTCGCACACAGTCGATTTGTTCGAGATAAACTCAAACAACGGCGCCAACGTCATTCCATGTTTTTATTTTCCTAATGAGAGGATCGCCATCATCATAGACCAAGCCAATGCATGATCGGCTGCTAATTCGGCGCGCCCGATGCTGAAACTTTGTTGAGGCGA